GAAAGAAAGAAAGAAAGAAAGAAAGAAAGAAAGAAAGAAAGAAAGAAAGAAAGAAAAGGAGAGGAAAGGGGACTGAGGACTCACAAAATGTGTGTAATTCTGCCAACACCCTAACTTGAGCTCACTGAAACCTACTTGAACTTGTTTGTTAACTTCTTATGACAGAAGTAGGAATGTATTACACATAGAAAATGCTATGAAAGTATCCTAAAAGGCTCTCTGAAATGCAATTTGGACATCTTTGGCTGACCATTATTCTGCCTACCAAACCACAGAAAAACTCAATGATCTCTCTTTAAAAAGCAAAATTAAATTCAAAAATGAAGACAAGATGAGATATAAGAAAGTAGGTCCCCTATAAAAGGAAGAGTTGAAACGAAATCTAAAAAGAAAAAAAGATACCTTTGCAGTAGAATTTTCTCATTACAGAAGCATAACTTAAAAGAAACATTATATTTTTCTCTCTAAAAGTCCAATTTATGCTACATGGTTCTATGACGAATAAAATTTAGATATTATGAATTTTTATTATTTTCCCATTTCCAGAAATAACAAAGGGGTAAATATCAAAAGGCATGTTCTCTACAAGCCTAATTTTGAAGTCTATCAGACTCTGGACTCCCTATACCAATATTAAATTTGTAGAAATAATATACATTATTTTTCCCCATGTGCTAACTATTGGGAACACTAAATGCATAGTAGTAGTAGAAAATTTGTTAGAAGCACAGATATAGACTAACACATTAAGTGATTCTTGCCTATATTGTACAAAATAAGTTTGAAAGATAAGTTAAGATCAGTACTGAAATAGGTAAGTGAATTTTTATCAACTAGTAAGTTTTTGGAATTCTATAATATGTTCAATGTTTATTTTTATTGTAGTTTAAATATATAAAAAATAATAATGCTTAAGATTTATGCAACTATAAAAAGAGGTATTCCTAAATGCTAAAGATTAGATAAAAATAAACCAAAATTTCAGGAATACATATAAACAATTTAAAATGTGTCTACCATTTGAGACATAGTGGTACTGCTTCCAGAAACCTATCCCACAAAAATATCATTATACAGTATGTAAAAAATGTTTCATAAGAATTCCACAGTAGGACTAGGAACATGGCAGAATGTCTGGTTAGGAAGCATGAAGATTGGAATTCAAATCCTAGTACCATAAAACTATACATAAAAATCCAGAGGTGGTGCTGTGGCTCAAGTGGTAGAGCACTAGCCTTAAACACAAAGAGGCTCAGGGATAGTGCCCAGGCCCTGAATTCAAGCCCAGACTGGAAAAAAATTAAAAAGAAAAAAGAAACAAACTAAATTTTCATTCAAAAAATTGGTTTTATATTTTATAGACAACTGTGAATATAGCCATCATTATGAATGAGAGATACCACTGGACACAGGTGGCTCATGCCTGTAATGCTACTCAGGAGGCTGAGATCTGAGGATCCAAGTTCAAACCCAAAAGGTCTGGGCAGAAAAGTCCCAAAGATTCTTATTGCCAATAAACTACTCAAAAAAAGCTAAGAGTAGTGCTGAGGCTCAGGTGGTAGAGTGCTAGCCTTGAGCACAAAAGCTCACAGCCTGCATGTAGACCCTAGGACCAGCACAAAGAAACAAACAAATAAATAAATAAAAGTAAGCCCTTTGTACAACATAATAACAATTGTATTTTAAAAAATTGAAAGAATGAGGTATATCATAGGAAGATACATGAACTTACATATACATGTGTACTATAAAATTTATATAAAGAGTAAAAAGGAGCTTAAAAAGACATATATAAAACTACTAACTACAGTTAGTCCTTTGATATAAAAGGGGATGCATGAGCCTTCCCTCTTATTTTGCATATATATTCTATTTAAATGGACTAACAGTACTTTGAAAATATCTTTTTTTTTTTTTTGCCGGTCATGGGGCCTGAACTCTGGGTCTAGGCGCTGTCCCTCAGCTCTTCAGCTCAAGGCTAGCGCTCTACCACTTGAGCCACAGCGTCACTTCCGGCTTTTTCTGTTTATGTGGTGCTGAGGAATTGAACGCAGGGCCTCATGCTTGCAAGGCATGCACTCTACCGCTGAGCTACCTTCCCAGCCCCTTTAAAAATATCTTTTACCTTAAAAGAAAAACGCTTTTGGGGGTAGGAAGGGTAGGGGGAAGGAAAAGTAGGAGAAAAATGAGGGAAGGGATAACATGTTTGACAAGAAATGTACTTATTACCTTATTTATGTAACTGTAACCCCTCTGTACATCACTTTGACAATTAAAAAAAACTTTTAAGAAACAAAAAAAACAAAGAAAAAAGTGAGGCTGGGAATGTGATTTGGGGTAGAGTACTTGCCTAGCATGCATGACGCCCTGGGTCTATTCCTCAGTACCACATAAAAAGAAAAAGCCAGAAATGGCACTGTGTCTCAAGTGGTAGAGTGCTAGCCTTGAGCAAAAAGAAACTTAGGGACAGTGTCCAGCCCTAAGTTCAAGCCCCAAGACTGGCAAAAAATGAAAAAGAAAAAAAAAACCTCAATTATTAACACTTACCAAAGTGAACCCCGAATATTTATACAGAACATAGTAGTGAAAAATGGCCTCTATGCATGAACATGAGAGTCTTTGTGGAATACCAAGCAAACAATCTAAGACTAATACTTAAATATACCATCATCACTATATGACACCACTAATGACAGCATTTGTAGTTCCTTAAAGACATGCAATTGAAAATACACTACATCACTTCTGGCAGATTAATAGTAAATCCTTTATCATTGCCTTAAATAAATTAATATTTCTTTTAATCAACACATACCGAATCATTTGCTGCCAGTGCAAGTGCCAGGTTCACTAAAAGAAACAGAAAAAAAATAAATTTACTAACTTTTCTTCTATGAAAATTAACTGTGCCTCCAAAACCCAGAATATTTTAATGCATCTCCCTTATTTGTAAAGAACAAGGATATGGAGAGAATTCAGAAAACAAAAAGACAAAAAAAAAATGAAAGCAATTTTGCAAGTACCAATGGATGTCTACCCTAAAATTAACATTTTAAATTTTATACTATCTTACAATTTTGTTCAAACATTCACCTAGTGTTTTTTAAGTGTCAGTGAAATATATAATTATTTTCAAAAACATATTTCACAGAAAAAATAACTTCATTTGATAAATAAAAATAAATATGATTCTACTAACATTTAAAAATAAATACTAGCATTTTAGGAGTTCCAATAATCTTTGTAAGTACAAGTGTATACAAAGGATGGGCACTGTGCACAGAGGGAAGAAAGGATACAAATATGTATAGAATATTTCCCAAACTGCCCACACCAGTAAATTCCAGAGGCAGAGAGGTGGAAAGGAAGAATCACAAGGTGTTTTTAGCTCAGCAATGGTAAAATGCTACATCTGAGACCAATGGTCCTAAAGTAATCTATTTCCAAGACTGACTAAATAAATAGACCCTGCTACTATGAATCACATTTCCTTACAGAGCATGGCTATAAATTATGTTGGAGTTGTTTCCTTTAAAGTAGTTAAGAATTGATCAATAGGAGAATAGGGAGACAAGAAAAAAGAAAATAAAGTAGTAAAGAACATAAATTTGGCAGGACACTGGGTGGCCATGGCTATAATCCTAGCTACTCTGGAGGCTGAAATCCAAGGAACTCAGTTCAAAGCTAGTCAGTGCATAAAAATCCATAAAGCTCTTATCTCCAATTAGCCAGAAGAAAGCCAGAACTGAAAGCATGTCTCAAGTTGTACATGCCAGTTCTCAGCAAATAAGGCAAATGAGAGTATGAGAGCTGGAGTTGAAGCCCTAGCACAACATGAATTTTAAGGCTAACCTAAATCAAATTCCAACTCCTCTGCCTTCTGTTGTAAATAAAAGTGACTAAGTTATTTTACTTGTCAATCATTTCCCCCTCCTCTGTAAAATATAATCCTTCCTTCATAACTATTTTAAGGATAAAATAAAACACCATATGTAAAGTGTTTACCCTAGGGCATGGAATTTGATAAATTAAAAAATAAATCTGAATCTATATAATGAAGCACAATCTAACTTTTAAACAAACTGTTGGAGAATAGGCCATCTTAAAGTTAGATTCTAACTGCATTTAAACAATAGAAGCACATAATATGTTTATAGTCATCAAAAGTCACCATTCTAATCCAAAACATCACTAGCAAATATATACATATATATGTGTATGTATGAGTGTATATCCAAACAGTATTATGAAATAGTAAACAGGAGTACACACAGGAAATATAGTATCAAAAGAAATATATAGACATAATCTATATCCTTTGGGATGGCAGTATTAAAGTTTAAAATTAAGGGCCTTGTGATTGCTATGAGGGCAACTATACACCACTTGAGCCATTCTGAAAGCCCCTTTTTGCATTCGTTATTTCCATGATAGAAAATGACTGGGGTTTTACATCCCAGCCTCCATGGACCACAACCCTCTTTCTTGTTTGTGCTATGTTTCCAGGAAAACAGACCTGTTGTGCTCAGACATTGCTTGAGATGAAGTCTTGCAAAATTTCATGCCCAGGTTGGTCATGAGCTACAATCCATCTATTTATCTCCATTTCCCATGTACCTAGGATTATGCCACACCTACTCTGGTGGAGTCTGCTTAGCATGGGAAACCTGCTTTCAGATCTGAGAATGGGGCTTCAAAGAGGCCTACCTCCTGGAAAAGGCTGGCAAGCCCCTGGGAAAGATGTGTTGCTGTTTTTCTTTTCTTCGCTGTATAGGAGCGCCTATTAATCTTTTACTGTTCCTGCTGCTTATTGTACTTACTCATGCTCAACGTTCCCTTATTTAACGCTCTTTCTTAAAAGTGTTGACGACTCCAACATCTGGTGAGTGTCTTGAGAATATGACTAACTCACCAGAGTTAAGTGCTACCCTGAAAGCCCCTCTTATGGAGGCTAGTAGACAAGTCATAAGTAAATATAAAAGTATTGGGGGGTTTCATGACGTCACTTCAGCAAAAGGAATTGTTTGTAAGAAATTTACAAGAAACTGTAGGCACGGCCACAAATTGGAAACCCTCTAAGCACAATTGCTTAAAAAAGATTTAAAACGTATAAAGTACAAAACTAAACAAAAGTAACTATGAAGTACTAGAGTTCATGTCTTTCTGTTCAGCACCTTGCCCATATGCTCTGGTTAATGGTTAATAGGTGATAAACATCGAAACCCATTGTATTTCTTAAAAATAGAGGTAAAGCTGAAAACAAGTGCCTGTCTTCATAGCTCATTATCCAAAAAACAAGATCAGGTGACCAGCTGGTGACCACCTAAAAACAAAGCCTTGCAGCAAGACTGTGTAACCTTTTGCCCTTTCTCATGGAGACTTTTGCTATAAAAGCTTGTTATCCTCTGCATTAAATCACACTCAGCATCCACTCCTCTTGTGTGTGAGTTGTCTGTTTGCCATCTCCCCACCTATTCCAGTTCCTCCACTAGGTGTCCTCCATCGTCCCGACAGAGTGGGTCCGCGGCAGGATTATAAACTTGAGTGAGTGTCGGGGCAGGATTATAAGCTTAAGTGATCATGCCCAAGTAGATATAGCCTATTTCTAAAAGAACTATTATGAAAAATCATAGACTATGTGTTCAATAAGTCAGTTCTGAAGCTTGAATAGATTACAGTATTTGTCAATAAAGATGAATACATGAAATACATAATAGCATAATATATGTACCAACAAAAAAGTGAAGGGACAATTACCAAAGCATCTACTCTGTGTCACAATCTGTACACTTTGTCACATATGTTCCTATTTAAATGCTTTCCAATTCCATGGCAAAAGTTTATCTTCCAGCTAAAAGCAATGAACAATTCGTTTTTAACAAGGACTACTCTACAGATAACAAACTGCATTACACAAAACATGAAGAACTTATGGCCATGATCATGAAAAAATTTCCCATCTTACAATAAAGATACTTGCACAACCTGGTCCATTGCTGCACTATGCACTGTAGCTAAGTTATGGAAACAGCACAGATGCCCTTTAATGGATTAATGGATGAAGAAAATGTGGCATATGTACAATGAAATTTTACTCATCCATCAGAAAGAATATTATGTCATTTTCAGGGAAATGGATGGCTCTGGAAAAAATTACGTTAATTGAAGTAAGTCAGGTTCAGTGAAAATAGGTTGCATGCTTTCTCTCAAATGTGGAAGTTGGACTATATATGAATTATAAATATATATGTAAACATATACAGGGTCATACATATACAAACATATTAACTGGAGCATAGCATAAACAGGGCAGAATTTCAATAGTGTAACTCCTTTGAACAGCTAACTTATGGTCTAACAAAAAGGAGGGAGAGAGGTCAAGGGAGGGGAGCAGATGAGTGGAGAGAAGAAGAGTGGGTGAATTCAGTAATTATATTCAATGTTCATATGTAAAATGGAGGTAGGAAAATTAAGGGGATAGATGGGTTGGAAGAGATGAGGGATAATGATAAAAAGGATGATATTACACAGTGGAATTCTATGCTTCCATTAGAAAGTGTAGCATTACTCCATTCATAAGGAAATGGAAAGACTTGGAAAAAAAGTCCTATTAAGTGAACTAAACCAGACCCAAAGAACTATAGGCTTCATGGTTTTGCTCATTTGTAATAATTAGTATATGCTTAGAATGGTCCTAAGAGAGGATCACAATGGCCAGATAGCTATATGACCATATAAAATGATGGTAATTTAAATGAACCCCATGATATGGAAATAAGAGGTTTCCCCCCCATTTTTTTCATTTTTCTTTTAGTGTATGGTTTACAGTTATTTCTTTGTTCTTTTATTCCCCCATCACCATGGTTAATTCCTTGTGGTCCTCTGTTTTCAGTACCCTTTTTCTTATACATAAAGTTATCTGATTTGGGGAAGAGAAAGGGAATCATAGAAATGGTAGACAAAGGGTGACCAATGCAACAGTAATACTCACTAGACACTATGTTGGAAATGAACTTCACAATTTGGAGGTGAGGGAAAGTGGAAGAAAATGAGGGAAGAGGTAACACTATTGGAAAAGAAATGTACTCATTACCTTACTTATGTAACTGTAACCCCTCTATCTATCATCTTTATAAGAAAAGAAAAAAATAATGAAAAGGGTGATATTGATCAAGATTTGTTGTACTACAAATTGACAATAATAAATATTCTTTAAAAATAAAAAAATTTCCCATCTTTACTCCAAGTAACCACAATGCATGTAAAAAGGTTCACACCATTAAAAACAAATCAATGTACTCTAGTCCATTTTTTTAAAGAAAGAGGCATATTCTAGAATCAAAGTATTAAGAAAGTAAAAGAAAGTATTAAGAAAGTAAAAATCAATTAAGAATCATTAGTCATTCTTAATTAGACTGTAGATATCAAATAGTAATAGCTAAGACATATATTACAAATAGTTGATACATGTTAATTCCTTCAAAACATCTGACAAACTCTTCCATGGCTCCCTTTATGTAATAAGGAAGGAAAATGAATGGAGCTGATAACAATATTGTAGATTCGTAGCTGGTTACACAATTGTAAAACTGTTATAACCAAAGTATGGACTAAACCACAACACAAGAGCTCCAGTGACATACACAGAATTCTGTACCTGGTATTTCTTATTTCAAAATGTCTTGGACTTCAATGGAACTGAAGAAATTTCATGTCAATACATGCTTTATTAATTTAAGTTAATCGTTTAGAAAAAAGTCAATTTTTTAAAATCTTATTGGTCTAGGACAAAATTAACAAAACATAGTAAAGAAAATCATTTTTAAATAACTGTTAAAAACTGCTTCAGTATGATCTGAATTAGCAAGCATTCCTATTAAAATGCTTAAAAATTCAATGTGAGGTCATTATAAGATGTGATTGCTTTGTGATTCCAAATTAAATAAGCTCAAAGGTATAATAAAGCTAAAGTATAAATATGCAGCTACGAATAAGTAATATACAGCATAAATATAGCTAATAATAATGTATCCTATATTTGAAATTCATTAAGATAATACTGTGAAGTATTCTCATCACATACACCAAAAAGCAACTAGGTGAGATGATGGATATGTTATCTAGCATGATTGTGGAAACATTTCATGATTGTGGAAACATTTCATAACATATACATTTAACAACGTATCAGTTTTACAACTTTAATAGACACAGTATTTGTCAGTAAAGCTGAATAAAAGAAGTCGTTATTTCTAGTGAAGAGTTTCTGGGAAGAGTTTCCCTTATACATTATTACACTAGAATAATCTTTTAAGAAAGGTTCCTAAGGAAGTTTTTGTAAGTAATTATTAATCTTGGCTGTTAACTTTTCCATTTCTGATGGCACTTTTATTATGGGCTCTAAAAGCAGCACTTCAGTGACATGTCTAGATAAATAAGAAAGGGCCACCAAAAAAGAAGTCTGTTCATAGTATATTAATTTAAAAGAGACAGTTATAAATGACATTTTAAATAAGTAAAATAATGCTAACCTTTTTCAAGCATTTTCTAATTATTAGTTTTTTATTAATTTGATTTTGCAAATAGTGAAAATTACATGATGGTTACCTGCAAAAAGGTCACAATAACAACAATCTCACTGCAAGTAACAATACAACTATATATATGCACATTAATAAAGACTGGAAATTTTGAATTCAGTATTACAGTTACTAAGTATATTTTTAAAAAGTGCTTACTATGGAGTAGACACTGGGATGACTAGTTTGCTTAATTTGTAAAATCAACTTGAAAGGTTATCATCTTCACAGTTACATAAACTGTAATTCTTCTGGACAACTTGACCACCTACTTTGAGTAGACAATCTTGATCCTTATTATCCAAATATCACAAATACTAAGCTTACAAAGAAAAACGACAAATGAAGACTATGCATCAGCTAACTGGTTAAAAAATCAGGATCATAATTAATATCCTGTAATACCTGCTGTCGTAGACTTTCCAACTCCACCCTTTCCAGAAGCCACAACTATAACTTGTTTAACACCTTCTATGGGTTTCTGTTTTGGAAGTCCTCGGGACATGATTTGTGCTCTTCTTTGTTTTAGAGTATCCCTCTCAGCGCCAGATAACTTTAAAAATAAATAAAACAAGATAATCATTTTAAATAAGCCTTTCTTCAGTATTAAGCTTTATAGAGCCATATTACCTGTTGTGACTGATCCTAACTGAAAAGATGCATTGCTTACATTGAACATCATAACGGGATACGTTGGCTTTTCTATGCTTTTCTAACATGGAAAGTAAGTTGTTTCAGTACTCCACGAGTTTTCCTCCTCTTTATTGCCTACATTACAAAATATACTACCAAGAAAGCTACGGGCACGCTCCACACATCCATGTTCGAACTCGCCTGCCAGCCCCACGCTGGTTCTACGCACAGAAAAGCGAGAAAGGGCAGCACACGCGGCCACTCGAGACTCGGCGTGGGCGCGGGCCCACGAGGGACTCAGTCCCGGGCCTGAGGCCAAGGCCAAGAGACCTGCAGCCGGGCCTTCCAACCACACCGCCCCGCCCCTCCTCCTGCTCGGCAGCACCACGGACCTGGCGCCGAGCTGCCCAGATTCCGCTTCTCCCAGGCGGGACAGCGGCTCCACTATCACCCCAAAGCAACATCCCACGCAACAGCAGCCAGTGCCGCCAAGCCCTCATGGCGCTGAGTTCGGCCTCAAGCCCTGCCGGGAAACGACGCGTCGCGGGCGCGAGGTAATGACGTCACATGGCAACCCACGGCTTCTTCCCCTTAGCGACCGGCCTTGTCTGGGTTTATTCTGCCCAGGAACCCCATCTGTCGCGGTCCAGCTTCTCCCCCAAGTCGCCAGCATGTGGCAACATGCTCAGATCTTTTCACTTGGAGCATCTCGTTTTATGCTTACAGGGAGTCCCAGAGAAGAAAGATCGATTGTCCGTTTTTGTTTTGGTTCATTTTAGCGGTGATGGGGACACGCCAAGGCAAACCCGCTACCACTGAGCCTCCTCTTATTATTAGTAACAAAACCGGGCCTCGGGGAAAGTTTTAGAGACTTGATGTTACACTGAATATCCAAAAGAGTCCTGATTATTTGACTAGTTTGTGTGTGTGTGTGTGTGCGTGCTAGGCCTGAATTCAGAACCACAGTACTGTGCCTGAACTTTTTTTCACTCAACTGGTAGGCTAGCGCTCTACCACTTGAACCACAGCTCCACTTCCAGCTTTTTGGTGGTTAATTGGAGATAAGAGTTTCACAGAGTTCCCTGCCCAGGCTGGCTTTGAACTCTAATCCTCGGATATCAGCCTCATGAGTAGCTAGAGGTAAGCCACTGTCACCCAGCTCTATTACTCTATAAAGTTCTGTAAAAGTGGTGAAAAATTAATCTTAATTCAGGTTCTTTGGGATTTATGGACTAATTTATCCTATCAGCTTGATGCCTGCAGGTGCAGCACCATCTTGTGCTGTGAGGGGGGGGGGACCTGGGAGTACGATTGCCAAGATGATGAGACAAAGAGAATTTTTTGCCAAAAAAATATGACAATATGGATCTATTGCATCAAGTTTGTACAGACATTTGAATTTGTTATATGAGATAAATATACCCCTATGTATACAAAACAAGTTTAGATTTCTCTACTGCTTTAGTGAAATGTAATCTTAAAATAAGAAAATGTGTTTTTATATCATAATTTAGGTCTTAAAAACTATTGTTTTTGCCAGAGTTGTCCCATTCTCCTAAACTATTCTAACTTTGACAACTCAAAGATAAAGGAGCAATCTTTTTGTTTGTCTGTTTGTTGTCGGTCATGGGGCTTGAACTTGGGCTTTGGGCACTCTCCCTGAGAACTTTTTGGTCAAGACTAGCACTCTACCACTTTGAGCCATAGCACCACTTCCGGTTTTCTGGCAGTTAATTGCGGATAAGAGTCTCACAGACTTTCCTGCCTGGGCTGTCTTTGAATCAGGATCCTCAAATCTCAGCCTCCTGAGTAGGATTACAAGTATGAGGCACCAGCAACACCCCACCCCCACCTCCTGCCCACAATTTTTTCTTTATCACAAAAAGTGGTACCATAGTCTGGTGCCATCCAGCTTCTTGGGAGGTGGAGATGAAAGGATCTTGCTTTAAGGCCAACACAGGTGAAAAAAAAGTGGAAAAGTGATATCCTATCTTTAAAATAACTAAAAGCAAAAGAAGTGTGACTCAAATGGTACAAAGAACCTGAGTTCAATCCCCAGAACTGCCCCAAAACAAAAGTATATATTATTATGTTGAATAGATTTTAGAAAATATACAAATGACTAAAAACCCACCTCTAGAATGTGACATGATGTTTCTAAATGCCAGTATCTGAAGCTGGATGGGTGATTTGACATTTGAATTTATTATTTATAAGATAAACTGAATCCTTGGACCAGGACCGCAGCCTTCCCTTTATAGCTCAGTAGTGTTACATTATTGTGTTAAAAGCCTGGAGGATGATCCTGTACTGAAGCAGAAGCCCACACCATCAGAATTCAGAACTATTTGTCACACAAAGCCTCAAATTCCTGTGTTCCATTATTCTCTACTACTGAACACACATTCTTTCAGCTAAACCCTTCCTACTCTTCAATTCTGTCTTTGAGATGACCTTACCACATCGTTTCTACTAGGCTTTGCTAAAATCTGACTTCATTATCTATTCAGGGGAGAAGTTTCATGTTTGTATCTTAGAGGACATACCAAGGATGATGACACAGCAGAGCCTCATCAAGATACCATACCTTCACTGGGCAAATGTGAAGTTCTATTTTCTGCAGGCAGGAAGATAACGTATTTTTGTCCATTTTACACTGCTGCCAGAATGTGAGGGCGACTTATAATGTGACTCAGACAATATTGTATTCTACTTGGTGATCTAGTACCAAATCTTGTTAAGCCATTTATTATCCCTTCCTAGTGAAGAGCTGATCATACATAAAAATATTATTACATATACAATGATATGTGTTAATCATACATAAAAATATTAAACATCATATATATAAACTTAGCAGATCCAAAATTTATTTATTTATATAAATGATAAACTTACTATAATCTTTCAAAGTACATTCTATATTTTGATTTAGACATTACAAATAGAAACAATAAGGACTATAATAATATTCTATGATAGACTGGTAAATTTACAGAATGAACTCCGGGGCTGGAGACATAGCTCAGTGGCAGACTATTTGTCTAGCATACCTGAGACCCTGTGTCCAATCCTCTTCACCACATACACACAAATAGTGCAACTTTTTTGTTTTCTACCTTCCACACAGCTCTGTTGATCCTTTAAGTGTTGCAATTTTTTATGAACCACCATGACAGGTAGGATTTTTGTACATTGCCCACAGCTGCTTCTTCAGTAGCTTAAACAAATTATCTTTTGCAAATGGGATTTTCCTGAGCAGTAATGATAGTAACTAATAAGCCTACTTTCAATCATATGCCAATCCATTTACTAACCATACTTTGACAATCAAAATGCTACTGAAATCACAACTACTTATCGCTCCTGTTTTATGCTTTTCTAGTTTGCTTATTCTTAAAACAGATGAATAAGTTTTTGCATCAAAAGTATCTGTTCTAAGTAGTTTCATTGTTCTAAGGCATTTCATAGCTGGTTATTCCTGCCAATTCTTTTAGATACCCAATAGAGTCTTGTCAGTTAATGAAAGGCAGAAACTTTATTATATCAATGACTTTATTATATCAATTTTGATCAATCCAAACTCAGGAAAAATTAAAGCAAATTTATTTGAGGACCTTAAAATTTTCCATTCAGGAAAAGGTTCATATAGCTCATCAAGGTTCCAAAGAAGACAGAAAAAGTATTTTTATGGGTTATTGAAGGGTGTGAAGGAATAGGGATGAGCTGAGGAAAAACAGGAGATATGAAACAGATAGACAATAAAAGAATATATAAGCAGAATTGAAATATCTATGAAACAGGTTTCTATAACCTCTTGAACCTCTGGGCATAATTCAAACCTCCAAACTTGAATCATTACAAACATTTGCCATGAAATGGTGGAGGTAACACAAATTCACATTCTTAGCAGCAGCTAGAATAGACCTAAATCCTGTTTCCTAATGTCCTTACTTCAAAACCTTCTTTTGGTATTGCTTTCTTTGTAATTTTCTAAGTTAATGGAATGATTTGTTGTTGAGATCTAGAGCTTTTTGTTTTCGTTTTTGTTTCTCTTGTTTCATTTGTTAAGACAGGATTGCCCTATGCATCACAGTCAGAACTTAAAATCCTCCTAATATGTTAGGAATTTTGTTGCTTTGCTTTGTGATGCTGGAGAACAAACTCAGGACCATCAGCATACTAGGCAAGCACTCTATCACTGAGCCACATCCACAGCCCTGAGTTAAGATTTTTCTTTCCTTGACTATGCCATATGTCAAGCATCTATGTCACACAGACTTTAAGACAGCCCTATATTTGTACCCTTATAATCCCTCCCCCTGAGAGTGAGTAGGGCCTGTAACTTGCTTCAAAACAATGGAATAAAACAAAGGTAGCAGGGGACCTTTGGGGGATTACTGTACATATAGGACTACAACTTCTGTCTTGTTAAATCATCAGCCAACTTTCCTGACACAAGTTTCCATTTTGCAAACAGACCTGTGGAAAACCCCAGGTGACAAGGAATAGTTCATAGCAAAAAACAAAAATAAAAAACTGAGGCCCTCAATCTAACAGTCTTCAAGGATCTGTCACTAAGCATGTAAGGTTGGAATTGAATTCTTTTCAGTTGAGATTTTAAGTGAAACTCCAGCTCTGCCTGACCACTTGATGGAAGCCTGTGAGCGATAATGAAGCAAAATACTTTGAAGTTGTACCCAGGTCCCTGGCCCCCAGAAATAGTGTGATAATAAATATACGTTTTTAAACCACCAAATGTGCAGTGATTTGCTTGTCAGCAAAAAGTAACTTATATCAGTAACCTAGATTTTAATAAGACCATATAGACAAGGAATAGTTTCTTATAGACAATTACTTTTTATGTTTTATGGGAAAAAAAATAACGTTTTGCTAAGAAAATCCTTCTCAAAGTTTAAACCTTTGCTAGGAGTTATTAAAAGCTATTATTTGAATGCCAATAATTCACTTATTTTATAAAATTTATCAAATCCTTAATTTCATATTTATAAGCCAGAAAAGAATAGTAACAATCCACTATTGTAAACGTTTCTAAATAAAAGGAAAAATTAGAGTACTGTAGTTCTTATTATGCTTTTTTTTTTTTTTTTGTCAGTTAAGAGGCTTGCACTCTGGGCCTGGGCACTGTCCCAGAGCTCTTCAGCTCAAGGAGAGCACCACCAGTTTTCTGGTAGTTAATTCGAGATTGGAGATCAGAGTCTCACAGACTTTCCTGCCTGGTCTGCCTTTGAACCATGATTCTCAGATCTCAGCCTCCTTAGTAGCTAGGATTATAGGTGTGAGCCACTGGCAGCCAGCTCTATGCTATTTTTAAATTACAAAATAGGCTTCATTGCTTATGTAAGACAACAGAGTTGCCTCTCCAGTCTCTGTCTCCATTAGTAGTCTAGCATCATTCTTCAATAATGTAATTAATCTGGATGCAAGTATCAAGCAATAATCAATTTTTATACTTACTGTATCAATCAAAAAAATCCAGATAAGAATGTTCCAGTAATGCT